GGTGCACTGACTAAAGGAGCTAGCAAGGCCAAGCACATCCAGCTACCAAGAAGTTTTAGTTCTCTTACACTGCTTGTTTCTCTACGCCTGTGCTTTGCTGGATTTTTGCACAGTAGGAACGGCATAAGCTGAAAGGGTCTGAGGATACAAGGCTTGCAGGGATGGTCTCTTTCAGCAAGCCAGCAGGTAACAGAAAATAGGAAAAGACAGAGGAGCTCTGAGGTGAAAACTCTTCTCCAGCTCTAGGAGGTTTCTCTGGTTTTGAGCTAACCCATCACTGCTATGGGGAAGAGAGAGGACTGCAAAGCGTGAAAGGTGATAAGGCCGTCAGTTCTTGTAAGAACCAGAAAATCATAACCTGTGGAAGAAGGGAATGTGGAGCAGTGGGAAAAGCCACATCGACCAGGACACCATCATCAGGTCCAACAGGCTGGAAAACACAGGGTTACTCATCAGAGCAACAAAGACTCAGCAGGAGTCTCACCAGCTGTGGCAAACCATGGAGCAGGCCCAGTGAGCAGCATTCAGCTGAGCAAGAAACGTCCCCGTTGCCCTCTCTTCCCTCTCCTCCAGGTATCTGGATTTTGCACAGCCACCCACTGCGGGTGCCGGCAGCAGCCGAGGCAGCACCGGGCTCTTCTGCGTTACCTTTTTTGTGCTTCCGAGCTTCAAGAAATGAGCTGGAGGCAGTTCTGGAAATTCACTCCTCTCAACCTGTAATTGAGAAAGCTATTTAATAGACTTGCTTCAACCCTGCGCAGCTCCGAGCCGCGCGGCGGCTGATGAATATGCGTGCCTTGAGATTTACATTTCGTGGCAGCACGAAGACAGGATGTCAGGCAAATGAGTTATGAGAAATGTTGCCTATGCAAATGCGCGCTCTGCTCTGCTCTGACTTCTCGCTGCAGTTCTCAGCCTTGAAGCCGTTTTTTGCCCATGCTCTTATTTGCATTGGAAATGTAGTAACGAAATAAGGTAACTGTACAGAAAACACCGCTATTTCTATGCAGACGGGATGGATGCCTAAATAGATGTGTCATGAGTGGAGTCCTGACCTAATGGTGGGCAAAGATGCTGTCAGGCCGTGCCATTTTGGACTCGTCCTAAACCACGTCTCACCCATTTAACTTCCCAGTCCTGACCCGAACAAGGTTTGTTATTAATCACCATAGATCTGCAGGAACAGAAACGTTGCTGTTTTCACCCCCAGTTTCATTTCCATAGTTTCCCACTTTCAGAAGAGGGGACCAGGAGCCCGGAGCAGGACAACCAACAGCAGCCGCTTCCTTCCAGAGAGACCAGAAAACCCGTTCATTCAGGCTATGAAAGCTTCATTAAAACGGACTTATGGATTCAGGTTAGCAAAGGGCCCTGTAACTGCAAGAGGTGACAAAAGCAAGCCAGAAGCGACCATACCTCACCTGCTCTGGTTGGGCTGCAGGCCACCAGCATCCTCCTCCATCTCCAGAAGCTCCAGCGTTTGCAGGGGTCTTTCCCTCCCACATCGCACGCAGCCATCCCCAGCCACGCTAACTGAGGGACTGTCACCTTTTAAATATCCTCTTCTGCTGCAGGCATCTCATGCAGGCAGATTTTCAGATTTCCTCTGCTGTTTGTGCACCCGAGAGGCAAACGCCACCTAAGAGGGGTCAGGGGACGGTTTGGGTGCTGCCACTCAAGCAAAGGCTTTACAGATAAGGGGCTCATCCCCTTGTGATGCACCTTGGGCAGAAAAGTGAATCATGCCATGAACTTGCGGGTAAACTGAGGAGTTATCGAGTGGCTTTACTAATTTAAGATGCCTTTCAAAGTGAGCTGCCTTGACGGCACAGCCCACAGGTTGTCACTTGTGTCCGTTTTAAAAGCGACCTCCCTTCCAAACCAGCGCCTTCAGAGCCACAGGGCACAGCCAAAGTATTTTTACTAGGCAGACCCTGATCTGCTTACAGTCAGAATTTAAAAGCACAAAGTAAGGTTTACACTCGTCCTTCTGCATGTCAACACTTCGAGCCAGTCCCTGGCTCTCACGTTATGCAGAAAGCAATCCTCTGTGTGATTTCGGTACCTGACCACCGCTGTCCCGCAGCATCAGGTAGTTGCAGTTTAACCACCTCAAACTTGAGCAGTTTCAGAAGGTTTTCAGGTGTAGCGTGTAACATTCAGATTGTCCCCACAGTACGTGGCCACATTTCCCCATTTCCTCAATTTCAACATGCAAACCACCTTGTTCTCCTCCTCGTCCAGCAGAGTGTAGTGAGCAAGGTTCAACAGCCGCTATCCAAACGCACCCATAAACAACAACTGCACAGCTATTGGCATGCAATGAGACTAAAATAAAACTGCTTAGGGTTACTCTTAAGTAGCTTCACAGAATCCCAGAACGTTAGGGACTGGAAGAGACCTCCAAAGCTCATCCAGTCCAATCCCCCTGCCGGAGCAGGAACACCCAGATGAGGTTACACAGGAAGGCGTCCAGGCGGGTTTTGAATGTCTGCAGAGAAGGAGACTCCACAACCTCTCTGGGCAGCCTGGGCCAGGGCTCTGTCACCCTCACTGAGAAGAAGTTTCTTCTCAAATTGAAGTGGAACCTCCTGTGTTCCAGCTTGTGCCCATTACCCCTTGTCCTATCATTGTTTGTCACCGAGAAGAGCCTGGCTCCATCCTCGTGACACTCACCCTTTAAATATTTATAAACATGAATGAGGTCTCCCCTCAGTCTCCTCTTCTGCAAACTAAAGAGCCCCAGCTCCCTCAGCCGCTCCTCACAAGGGAGATGCTCCACTCCCTTGATCATCTCTGTAGCCCTACGCTGGACTCTCTCCAGCAGTTCCTGTCCTTCTTGAACTGAGGGGCAAGCAGAGCATATTAGGTATTTTAAAAAATCCCCATTTTCCCCAATGCATGCCCCAATATTAAAGGTTTTTATTGTGCCATGAATCCCCTCCCTGGACAGACCCTGAACACGGAGGTGTCCGGGCCAGCCCAAGTGCCCACTGGATGTCACTATTGCCTCAGCCACGGACATTCTTACGGCCAGAAACACAAAACACCTTGGCACGGACCCCCAGGATGTCAGAAATGAATCTACAGCGACTTGTTTTCACTACACAGAAGTTTATTATGAAAGTTAAACATACAACACAACAAAGTAGCAAAAGCAATCCTGTAGCTTAAGGCAACTCTTACAGGAGATGAATTCGAGAAAGATGATGCAACTTCAGTTTAAATAGAAATTATGAAAAATATCCAATTGCATCAATAACTTAAAATGCACTTTAAAAAGTCTGCACTAACCAGCAGAGGGTAAGGGCTTGTGATCTTAATGCCAGCATTAAGATATCGAAAGCAGCAGGATGCTAAATGATGATAGGGAAAGTTCAGTATTTACACCAAGATAGCAACGTTAATATCTGATAGTGTAACTTCCTGTGTACTTCTGGTTTAAAACCACCGTCTGAAACGTTAGGGAAAACCTTTTAAAATAAATCTTCACACTATTCCATCAAAAATACACAGATGGCAGAGGAGATCCAAGGCCAGGGGCGTGTGTGTGTGTGTGTGTGTGTGTGTGTGTGTGTGTGTGTGTCCCTTAAATAACTCATTGCAGAAACGCTTCAGAAAAATGGTTTCTTTGGGGGGAGGAGAGCAAGAAGAACACGTGGCCACAGAGTGGAAAAGTGAATCACATTGAAATCGAAGTATCAAAATATTTCTGTTTGATGGCATTCTCACAGTTCGCAGTTACTGACATTTGGAAGTGAATGTTACATATTCATATTACTAACACACAAAGACTCTCCTTCACATTGACACCTGCTTTCGTTTTTGCAAGACCTCTTTTGCATCAATTGTTTTGCCATTAATAAGGAATCCAATTATCCTCATTACAGAATTTAATAAAGATGTAACTGTCCTAACCACACAAGAGTTTCTACCTTCAACATCATTCCTGAAGTCCTGAAATCGGATCACCTAGTTTAAAAAGGTATTTAAGTGACATTTTAATTAATCAGGCTGTACAGGAAGCACCACATTTGAACAAAGCCAAAGGACATCACGTTTCCAATCAATTTCCTTCAAATATTGGGTGCAAGGAAAGAATTTGGAACAAGTCCAGCCACCAGCCCAAAGAAAACAAGGTAATTCACAAAGTAGCTCATCCCAAATCTTACCCTGTTAGAAAATGCAATCTATACTGCAATGTAGTCTTAATCTGCGTAAGATTTCGCAGAAGTGCCCTATGCACAAGATCTTCTGCACACAACCTCATCTCAGCTTTTCACCATTCAGCGCAACTTTACAAAAAGCCTATGATATAAGATATACCTGAAGCAGCTATCTCAAACAGGACTGAATACGTATGGCCTTGGCAGCTGATCGCTTCCGTTCCCCAGTTCACCTCGCTGTCGAATCCTGTTGTAGAGTTGCAGTATCCCTTTTCAGAACTGTTTAAAAAAAATCCCTGAATAAAACAGAAGCCAGCCTGCGACTTCCCATGAGTTTCAGTAAAGTACCATACATACAGGGGTCGTAACAACCACCCAAACTCACTCGATACAGAATTTAAAAAAAATCGAAGGCGGATACCGGGGCAAAATGCAATAATGCATGAAAACGCACATTGAGCGTTAAGAGTTTAAAAAAAGTGGAACCAATGGCTTGTTAGCAGTTAAAAAGAATACTGCAACTGTAACGTCGACAAACCCACAACGTTTGAAAACCGATTCCAACAGCTCTGATTCACTGGGTTTAGCTTGGAAATAACGCAAAATAATGTCAGCCAGTTTTAAGAAGGTCTTGCAAATTCAGAAAAAAAAAAAATAGAAAATGGCAAGATAGGTAAGAATGCGTATCTAAAATAAAGCAGGAGCACAATAAGGACGATCAAAACAAAAAAATCCAAAAGCCCATATTAAAAACATTAAGCTTGGAATGCATTGGCTTCCAGCAGTTTACAACGACAAAATATAAAACCAAAAAAAACCAAAAGAAGTCTTAAATCTGTACTATCTTGACCTATTTTTAAGTGACAATTTTTATTACAGTTGAGAAAAAAAAAACAAAACGGTTTTATAGCTGCATAAGTTTCCATTTCACTAAAATAGTGCCAACAAAAGTAAGTTTGCATAGAAAAAAAACCCCAAAATTTCAGATTGCCACTGGCTACATGCTTAAAATGGGAAACGCAGGTATTGTAACATAAACATAGTGCAAACCATGGCAGTTCGTGGCGACTCCGACTGCCGCAGGTCAGGAAACAGACCATAATATACCCAGTTATCACAGTTTCTGGTCTTTTATTAAATCCTTTGCCAAGTAGAAGCAATGCACGTGTGCAGACCCACGGTACGCCTGCTGCTCTTGATTAACGTAGTTTGAGATCATCGCCACTTCCCAGGTTGGATCCAGGACTAGGGTCTTGCTGTCTTCTTGCCTGGAGTAACAAACACGTATTTAGGATCAACAAAGTTATTTAAAACTCGCCAGTTCAGTTAATCTCTACAGTTTATTATTACCATGTGTTATTACCATTATTAACATGACTAAGACCATCGCCAATTCTACAGCAGAAACTTGCCATTTCAAGCAGCATCCGATACATTCATTTCTCACATCAAAATTACTCTTGCCTTCTCAACTTGGTGAAGCCCCAGGCTTCCCCTGAACTCAGGGGAGCGAGCGCACGCTCTGACTGTCACAGAGTCCCTGCCGCAGCCGGGCTGAAACGCTGCTCAGCTTCAACAACCGGCACGACACTTCCAGAATAGCTAAGCAGCAATTTTGTGTCTCTTCTTCCAAAACACATTTGCTTTCCTCTGAAACCCCCTTCTGTTAATCTTTTCTGTAAATGTTTCCAGGATCAAGGCTTTGGGGAGACAGGCTACGACCCAAGGCAGCAGTGTACACTACAGCGCGTCCAAATAAAACTCCCCTCAGTATTTTTATGTGGGAAACATTATTCCAAAGGAAGCTACAGTAAAAGAGACTTAGAACATGGTAACACAACACCACCATTTAATCTACACATTGACACACATTTCAACACTTCTTAGAAGCTGGGGTTTTACTGCAGCATCCGTGGTTTTCCCTTTGGTGCACCTGTAAAGTTAGCAATAATACAAACCCCTGGTACTTATGATTGTGCCCCTGTATTAAAAAGAAAAGTAACATGAGCTCTCCTTTACATAAATGATCCAGTTAAACAGTTGGAGTTGATGGCCTCGTAAAGAGGAAATCAAGACAGTCAGTCATAATAATATCAGTGACAGTAGGAGACATTGCCATCTGCTTTCTACACATCCAGGCTGCTTTCACGTAGCACACACAAAAGCTGCAGATAAAATACGTTAAAAGTTTCAGTACAGCAATATTTTAAAGCAATACTTTGATTCTGGGAACATCCAGTATGTGCCAGCTGCCACTTCAGTGCATCAAAAAGTGCTCCCCAAAAAATGCAAAACAAGTGACCACTTCCCTCCTTCGAAAGGCCTCTGGTATTTTGCTGGAAGAGGCAGGGGCAGACTTACTGCAGGCAGCTGCACCACTGAAAGTTGCAGTTGAAGCCACGTTCACAGCTCACACTGAACAATACGGGTACTTCACTAAAGCCACACCAGCGCTGCTCTGAGGTGTTCCCCGGGCTCTTCTGAGTCACATTTACTGACACAGAGGAAGCCTTCCCGCCAGCGCAGGTTACCCCAGCTCCCACACGAACGGTGAGCCCCGTCTGTCAACGCCTGGCCCTCTGGCACGTGCTGACAACGTCGTTTTCTCCAAATTAAGACTTTCTCTGCTCACTTCTCTCCCAGTTATCTGCCTGATTTTACGCTCCTAGTGCAATTCGTCAGCTTCTCCCAAAGAGAATCACAGAATCCCAGACCGTTAGGGATTGGAAGGGACCTCCAAAGCTCATCCAGTCCAATCCCCCTGCCGGAGCAGGAACACCCAGATGAGGTTACACAGGAAGGCGTCCAGGCGGGTTTTGAATGTCTGCAGAGAAGGAGACTCCACAACCTCTCTGGGCAGCCTGGGCCAGGGCTCTGTCACCCTCACTGAGAAGAAGTTTCTTCTCCAATTGAAGTGGAACCTCCTGTGTTCCAGTTTGTGTCCGTTACCCCTTGTCCTATCATTGTTTGTCACCGAGAAGAGCCTGGCTCCATCCTCGTGACACTCACCCTTTAAATATTTCTAAACATGAATGAGGTCTCCCCTCAGTCTCCTCTTCTGCAAACTAAAGAGCCCCAGCTCCCTCAGCCGCTCCTCAGAAGGGAGATGCTCCACTCCCTTGATCATCTTTGTAGCCCTACGCTGGACTCTCTCCAGCAGTTCCTGTCCTTCTTGAACTGAGGGGCCCAGAACTGGATGCAATATTCCAGAAGCGTTGCTTCCCTCTGTTCAAATACTGATTTAAAGTTGTGTCTTCCTGTCACGTGCAACGATCCTGTTCTGATGCACACACAGTTCATTTAATAAGCCCTCTAGTCAGCAGCACGTTTCCAGAGAATTGCTTCCCTCTGTTCAAATACCGATTTAAAGTTGTGTCTTCCTTTCACGTGCAACGATCCCGTTCTGATGCACACAGAGTTCATTTAATAAAGCCCTCTAGTCAGCAGCACGTTTCCAGAGAAGACTTCTGCTCTTATAGTGGTTGTATTGCCACTATTGCTTTGCAAACACCCTCACTATTTTAAATACCCCAATTGCTACGTACTGTGTTTTACGTATGCAGTACTGTTGCCGGCTGCGTTTTAGATACTCAGGGGTGAGGTATTTTTTCTTGCTCTGTTCAATCTGCACTGGTCACGCTCTGACTGAAGGGAACAATCTGCCTTCCCTACAGGCAGAAGGGCTGTGAAGATGACAGCAGCCACCGCTGCCGTGCACAAACCCACAGATTTCTTGGTAATCTTTCTGAGGAATCACGTTTAAACAAGCGGCTGTAATCACAGCACTGAAGACTTCGAGTGCTGAAGGGCGTATTCCTCTCAGCTCCTGAAGCAGCTTTTTCAAACCGCTCTCTTTGTAGAGGTGCAGAATACTGGGAGATGGCATTTAACTGAGTTTTACACCTTATTTCCAAAAGCGAAATCATTCAGCTTTGACTCTTAAGGTCACTGTGGAAAAGTTGATGAGAGAAAGCCCACACTCGTGTTTCTTTCTCAAACAGAAAAGTAAACTGTGCTGTAAAGACTTTTATTAATACAAAACGCTTGCTCAGCAAGTCTAAATCAATCCTTCCACATTAATTGAAGAGTTGTACTAAATTAACAAAAGGATAACGTCTCCTCTTTGCATACTTTTCTCCTACTGAACAGACCGTAGCAAGATTTCTTCTTGTTTTAACTGCTGCCTCTTTCTTCTAAAAGGAAACAAAAGGCATGCGCTGTCTTTAAGAATTACCCACCTCACACCAATCCAGCTGCCAGTTCTGCACTCGATAAACTTCTGTACACTGAACTAGACAAAAACCAGCAAGTTAAGCGCTGTTACACTGCTGCTCTAAGAGCAACGGAGATTCTCCTTCAGAAAACAAATCATATGCACAGCAATTTTATTGTCAAACGTTGGCAAAGGCTCCAAGGTATGGCCATATGGTTGCATTTAGGCTTTGCCTAAAGTGGCCTTTTGTCTCAAAACATATGAAAGAATTCACATGATTCACGACCTCATTGCTACTTGTAGAGCTTGCAGAAGCCACTACTGAACAACTACCAGACTTGCCCTTTCAAGTGATATGCAAAAGGCACAACAAATTACCCTCAAACGTCCTGAAAGCAGTCATTACAATATCTTACACTGGTATATGTGGATAAAGGTGTAATTTTGCATTACAGTAAGTGGGGATTTACAGAAGCAACGGCAGCACGTTGGAACGGCAGCCCGGTCTCGCTCAGAAGCGCTCCTTTGCTTGTGCTACACTTCTGTGCACAAATAAACACGTGAAATGCACTTTTCTATCAGTCACCATCCTGCCACGGCGGATGTGCACAGCATGCAACCACAACTGTGCTTTACAAGCTGAAAAAAAGATGTAGAAGCATCATATATGTATGAATCTAAAAAATAAGGACACTCACAAAAGACAGGAGAAACCACCTCGTATGCAGACAGCAAGCACGCTGCAGAGCATCAGGCATTGGAGGGTATTTTTGTCTGCTGACAATGGGCAAAATACGATTTTCATAAGAAATGCCACAAGATCCTTAACGCTGACTTGCAGGAGGAGTGCAGTACCAGCACGGTAGCGTCTGGTGGTTCTCCTCAGTCTATTATAGGAAGCTAAAAGTTCCCTTTTACACACGTAAAATGGCCATTTCCAGAAGTGTCTCCATCTGGGGTCTCCTGCTCTCCGCACAGCCAATCAATCCTCCGACCTGCAGCACTGGCTGCAGTTTTTGAAGTGCCTACCTTACGACGCCACGCAGAAGCATCAGAATTACTCTCGGTGATTAACGACCTCAGCTTCTCAAAAGATTAAGGGGACTCGCTTCAATTAAGAAAGATGCATCTATCTTTGCCACGGGGAAATGGAATACGCTGCCATGAGTCATGCGCAGTGAGTCATGACAAAACAGTCGTTATTCATCTTATCTCGGCATATTTCATTTCTCAGTCAAATGCTCCTTTTAAGTTTGAAGGAACGCTACTTCCAATGTTCTTCATCTGCTACTTAGGCACAAGGATGGCAAAGACTCGCTTGCAAGAAAAACTTGTAAGTAGCACACAGATACCATCACTGCTGGAATTTTCTGAAGAACAAATGTGTTTTAACCACCACTGCCAGCCCCTGAATACCCTGAAATTGAACAGTTAATGCCATGGACACATAGGGAGTTTCAATACCCAAAAATACTTCGCACTCAGCTTTCAGCACATGAAGCCATGCAAATCTTCTGCAATACGGAAGGAATTAGGACTGGCCAGAAGCCATCTGAAACCTCTAACGTTGGAGACAGCGTGATGACCGACTGAAAGAATTGCAGGAACGTATCTGGCAAAAACCCATTTCCAAGCCTCCTTATTCCAGATTTATTCACGCTGAACGCATAATGCTGATACCACAGGGGTAATAACACGCCAACAAACAAGGGAAAAGTTACTAAGAAAATCATTTTGACTTGAGGGTGAACAAATGCAAAACTATCCCCTGCAGTGCTCTTACATCTTTCTCTCTTCAACCCTGTTATCTCTGAGCTTTTAGCCTAAACAGAGATAGCATAACCGGTGCGTGCTAAAAGTCACATCAAGAGAATGAGGCAGTAATATCCATATTATATTCATTTTCTTAATAAATTAGATAGCTTGAAGCCATCAAATCAACTTATAACTGTGACTCTTCTGGACGAGCATCATATTGGAGCATTTACATGTTACTGGGGCACTTAAGTAAAACAGATCTAAGAATAACAGCAATTAAGGAAGGCGGCACACAAG